TTATATGTTTGGACCTAAAATATGTTATTTATGGAATAACGGCCTACATGAAGCAGAGGTTTTTGGGGAAAAAGAATGATTGCACCATACTTGGTCTTCAACATAATTAACCTATCTCTACAGTATGTTTTTTGAAATTGATATAGACATGTAGATAGGGAAGAGCCCCCATGGCGATGGAATTCGTTGGCTGTCATAAAACCAACAACCCAAGCCTGCTACAAAGAGCTCACATTGAGTCACTGTGAGCTAGTACTTTACAGATTTTAGTTATTTAAAAAATTATATCAAGTCAACTGATTTCACTTTCTGTGTTATTTATTATTTATTCTCAAAATTAAATCTACAAAAATCTGTCTAGCTATAACAAAATATTTTCACACATTAATAAAAAATTTAAAATATGATTTTATAAATAGTTGGAAGAACACCGAAGAATAATCTAAAATTTCAAGTTTAAGAATATTCCACTCTTGAGCTTCAGTAGTTAACTACATTTTCGTTTTGAACTGATTGAGAAGTTAAAGATGAATGCATTACAGTCAAGGTCATTTAATAATTTTGAAGTCAGTAGGCACCCACAGGTGGTGTATCTGAGACTGAGAGAGGGAAAGAGTCAGAAGGTTACTTTCTCCCAATCCGCCTTCAAAATTATTATTCTTCAGTGTTCTCAATTAAAAAATATAGAGACAGGACAGTGTCCACAAAGAAAAAAATGAAAAAATAAAAATAAAGCAACAGAAAGTAAATAGTTGAATATAAATGATGGTATAACTTCTAAGGGAAACATTTTAACTTGCATTAAAACCATAATTAAAATCATAACTGTAACAGAGTAGAGAAACAAAAACAGAACTACAATTTCTAAGCAGGGGATGAAGAGGTAACCCCGTATGTTCCCCTAAGCCGTCAGGAATAATCCTTGAGCACATAGCAAGGAGCAAGCCTTGAATATGTCCAGATGTGCATCCCAAAAACAATGCACATGAAAAATTGTTGAGCAAAATCATACTAGAAATAAAAGATACTAGCCCTTGAACTAGGCAGTTGAATCAATTTATCTTATATAGGTTATATGTAACTTGTGTGCTATGTGATTGTTTTTGTAGAAATTAATCTCTTGCTTAATTTAGTTGATTGTGCCCAATGACCAAATTTTATAAGCCACCTGTGAAACATGAAGGAATTATGAAAACATTATGAAAAATAACAGCATTTCTTTTAAAGTGGCCACCTAATTATTTCAAGTCATATTTATGGCCATTGCTTTTTAAGTATGTGCTTAGTTACTAAGGCTTGAAAAACAAAATTGCAATTGCTAGAAATTTGTAAAATTAAATACTACAGAGGAGTTTATCTTAACCATCTGTGTGTCAATTTCTAAAAATGAAAGCAATAATAACAAAGCTCAAACTACCAGAAATTATGTCTCAATGTAGCAGCTAATATCTGCCTTGGTCTGTTTAATTAGTTGTCACATAAAGATATAAAAGACTACATTAGCCCTAGCAAATATCCGGGAATTTCAAGACAGCCATTGTTAAGATCTGTCTTCAGTGCTATTAAAACATATCCTATAATATTATTATTCACACAAATTAAAAGATCTAATGATGTGTTCTACTGACACTGAAGGACAGCAGAGAAAATATTCTTACAGAAAGGAGTTCATTAGAGTCCTTAATACTCATCAAATTACACACAATCAGTTAGTCTATTTTAGTTGCCCTTAGGTTCAACTTTACTAATATATTCTTAGTTTTCAGTTTTACATATAGAATTTTTTTAAATTTTTCAACTTAATATAGAGTAAAGCTTTGAAGAAGAATTTTAATTAAACACAGCAAAATGAATGTATCCTCATAATTGATGCCTATTTATAAAAATGGTCCCATTTCTGAGGTTGAAATTATCACTAACCATAGGATAATATGCAAGCAATATAAAGACTCAGAAAAAGCAATTCAGTTCATTTTCAGGTGCATAGACAAAATTCTAGAAAAATGTATCTTTTTGTTTGTTTCTTTGTTTTTAAAGCAACTTTAGAAGCATTTAGTTTGTTGAGATAAAAATGCATGAGTTCCTTTCAACAGGTTTGTCAGATTTGGACTGTAATTGAGGGGTTAATTTTGAGGATGCGACAACTGTTACATAAAGTAAACCATTCAGAGGGCAAAATCAAATTATAGTTTTAAAACTCATTACCAATAATTAATAATGAGCGCTAGCTAAACAATAACAGGTGTTCTACTAATCCCAAACAAACAGATGGAAGCACAAATGTTTTATAAATAGTGGATACATGCAGAGCAATAAACTTGGCAGGAATTGTTTTATTCTCTAATTGTCAGTCAAACTCTTATCACTGCCATTTTCTTTAAATTATTGCTGTCAGATTAAATCTAGTTTCTCATTCCTTACTTTTCAAAATGCAAACCATATTTAATGCTTTTTCACTAAACAGATAACATTACTGAATTCTTACCCTCAAATAGTTTTCTATGGTTTGATATATAAAAAATAGTCATGCTATACAGGCTTCCTTCTTCAGTTTTTTCTCTCTTACTTCTCTGGCAAGAAATATAAATAGAAAATATATCTAATTTTTATATGTTCTACCAAAAAGGCTAGTGCATCATGAATGAGGTTGACTAATTAATAATGCATGAGAGAGCAAATTAATTACATTAGCAAACAATCATAGAACATGTAGAAATCATTTTCAAAAGCGGAAATATATAATACTTTAGATAAGAACCCTTATGGTTACTCATAAAATTTATAAAATGTACACTTTTGCCCTTAGAAAGGCTCTCCCTGTATGACTAAGTACAATTCTTAATTTATACTAAGGGGCTATTACTTGCTCTTCAAGACTTAAATCAGTTTTTAATTTTGTTTTTACCTCTGTTTTATTTATTTATTTTTTTTGTGGCCACACAAGGGACACTCAGCATTGGCTCTGCACCCAGGGATCACTCCTGACAGGCCTCAGGGGACCATATGGGGTGCCAGGAATTGAGTCCAGGTCGGTTGCATGCAAGGAAGTGCCCTATTCATTGTACTATTTTCCGACCACAAGTTGTTGAATTTTCTGAAAGACTTGTTTGGCACTGTGACAATTAAGCTGTTAGAATTCCTTCATGACTTGGTCAATGTAGGCCCATTATGTCTGATTTTTAAGAAAATTGTATTTTAAGATGAATCGATACTGTCATTACTTTAGATAGCAAACAACCACATATTTTCCCAAAGAACAATGTTTAAAAGTTCATGTTCGATAAGAGATTCAACTCACACAAATAATAAACACTTGATCCTTTGAAAACAAAAGTATAAAGTATGACTTTCTCAAACTATTACAGATGACCAAAATGGGCATCAGATCTTTTCCATAAAATTTCACTAGTAGTATAGATAGACAAGACTTGTATAGTTGAGAAGTACCTTTCTTATAGAAAATCTAGACAAAGTGAAAAAAATATAAGAAATTTCATACTACCAGTTGTTAACATTCTGACCTCGCAAAGTTTGTTACTTGATCCCAATTTTAAATATGAAAACACTAAAAAAAAAGGTAAATTTTGAAAACTTGCTCAAAATCTAATGCTTAAAATAAAATGTATTTATAATATCTCTGTAGGCATTTAAATTTTGCTAGATTAAACTATCTGAATATTTCCCAATTGCTTCCTGTGATTTGATCCATATGTTAACACTAATTTTATTTTACCAAGTTATTTATCATATTTTTCATCTTTCTACACATTTCAGTCTTCTACACACTAAAAAAATCTTAAAAGACAATAAAGGAGAGAAAGAGGCAACACATATAATTAATATTATTAATCATGATTTGATAAACAAAATTCTCAATTACTTGGTTTTCTATAAACCATAGGCCTATTATTTATAGATACAGATGACATCCCCATTTGTCAACAGATAATGAATTCTAACTTTAAATTTTAGAAAGAGCTTCATAAAATTGTTAAGAAAAATATAACCTGCTATTGGGCAAGAGATAGCTTAAAAAATTGAGCACAAGTGTGCATGCAGGAGTCTTGATTTCAACCATTAGCACTGTATGGTACCCTGATCACCAGTCAGAGCAATTAAAGAACATCACCTGAGCACCGCCAGGTGTGGCTTAAAAGTCAATAATATAGAAAGATGATAGATAGATAGATAGATAGATAGATAGATAGATAGATAGATAGATAGACAGACAGACAGACCGACCTGAAGATGGATAATTTGATTCTGTTGACTGCAATTTGTCTTGATGTTCCTTCCTTAACAATAAATCTTATCTTTTCGGAAATGTTTCTCCAGAATGAACATACTGCCATCAGTTTTAAATATGCAAAGGCAAAGTACAAGCAATCAAGCTACTTCTTCTCAAATAAGATGTTAGTAAAGAATTCCTTCTTATACTTTAGCAAAAGATAGGAGAGATAACGTCTTTAAATTAATAATACATCCCTTTTGTGTTTTCTATAAAATCTGAAGTAAACTATCTCCATAGACGTCCTGAAGAATAATTAATCCAAGTTTATGTTAGTAAGAAATATTAAAAAAATTGAAAGACTGGTTTAGCTACTCGAATTGTAGAGGATTTTAATATGAATTTCACTCTTGATTAATAAAAAAGACAACTTTTATTGCCATAGATCTTCAACGTTTACCAGGAATAAAGTAAGATACTTTATGTCTTCTCTCAAAGATATTATTAAAGATATTAACCTTTATTATATAAAGATATTAGCACTTTTTAAGAAGCTTTCAGCTGACTTCATTTGCAATAAGCCATGCAACAAAAGAAAATAAAGTTTAATGCTCTAGTGCCAGTTATTATTTCTGCATTTTATTGATCTTATTCTAACTCTACACATGCAAGATGCTATTTTTTTAATTAAGAACAATTTAGTAAATAAAAAGCCAACAATCTTACAAACAAAATTATTAAAACAGACAAGTACAAGAATTTTTTTGAATACCTGGTTTTAAATCCCCATGGACAAACATGTCAATCATATATCGACAGAATGCATACTGATCTGACAGAGTAGAAAGAGAAAGAGCAATAAGAAAATATCAACACTTTCGTTTTTCTGCTTGTTTCACAGAACAAATAAAATAGCACAATTCTATTTTGGTTTCTACAGTCTTTGTATGAATAAATAATTTACATTCATGAACAAACAAGGTATAAGATGCATATAATACTCCATTTATCTTATACAAATCAAATGACCTTAAAAAGACAAAGACTAATTATAGATAATATCATAGTGATTACTTTAAAAGATCCAAAGTTTTTTTTAATGAAATTTATTATAAAACTCATTATATGAAACTAAAATCTCTTGTCCATTTGTATACTTCCAATAATGAAGCAGATGTTTTATGAGAGGAAATTGTTTCCAACTTGGAACAATTTACCAAATTTTCACTTCCAGCTTTTCTATTAATTATCTAAATGAAACTGCAGAATTTTTTCTTGAAAAGGCAAAGAAGGAGGGTTAACCCCTTTGCCACCAGCTAGGGGCCTTCTGCAAGGAAATATTGTTCAATTAGAAGATTATCACTGAAACAACAGATTTATAGCTACAAATATTTTTCAAATATTAAACAAATGAATTGAGTAATCCTTTATAGGAGGTTGCCTTATGATAATGCTCAGTTATGGTAAAAGGGAAAAAATGTATTGGTTTTTGTTTTTAAGTATAGCATTTCAGCAACTACAGACTTAGTCAAAAATTATTTCATTATTTTATTTCCTCTAAATTAATTATATTATACTTAATTTTAAATTAATACATAACTTTAGATTCTGCTGAGATTATCCCCAACTCAAAATTTAGTTAATGAAAATTTTAAAAGTCTATTGCCTTTTTAATGTTTGTTTGATATGTAAAGAATTTTATCAGTGTCATTTACAATTCAGTGTTTCTAAATATGTATCTTACTGATCTAACAAAACCAAAGATGACTTTAGAGAGTTTGTTTAAATATATAATGTGATACACCTATAAAGTCAATCAACAATCTCAAACATGAAACAATGAAAATGAGCATTTAAATTTCACATGTCCTGAAATTTGTCAATCTTATTTTAGAGTATCAGTATTCTTGTAGTAATTGAATTATTACAAAAATTTCAGTGCTTAGGACGGGAAATGTTTTTGCAGCAGACATAAAACATAGAATCATTTTTAATACTCTCTGAGTAGGCAACCAAAAATCATAAAATTTCAACAACTGTGTTATATTTGTTGATTCTATTTTCCCACAGGCCTGATGGATAGTGAGAGAAGCAAGTTCTCAGTTAGGTCTGGGAATTTATTTTGCAACTTGACATTTTAGTAGTAAAAGCAGAGTTTCTGATACTATGGTATAGGAAATAAACAAGATAAAGGTAAAGAACATTTTTTTCTTTCCTGGACATGATTATTTTTTCTGGAAAATTATGAAATGACAAGTGGGCTCTAAAATAAAGCAATTTTAAAAACTTATTTTTGTATTTAAAATAAAACATTTTAAATATGTTTTCAGGTGAAAATTCCCTGAAATTGTTCTCCCCTTTGTTAAGTAGCTTAAGGAACAGGACTCTATCAAGATTTGTCTTTTCTACAAATCAGAGATTTGTCTTTTCTACAAGTTCTCTATGGAAAATTTGGATACTAAAGAAGTGGAAAATTTGTTTAAATGCAGATTTCCTGGACCCATTACCTACCAAAAAACTGGAATCCATTGGCCTCTACCCTAGAAGTATGCATTCTAACAGTCTTCTTTGAAGATTCTACTTTGATTAATCTTCTAGAATCACTGATCTAGTCCCTCAAAATTTTATTTTTTGAACATGATTTTTTTTTACTGGCACAATAGCTTTTATTAATGGAAATGGAAATGACTTTGTATTGCAAGTTTAGAATGCAGGATCTGCTTAGAATGTGAAAGTTTTGGGCAATGTTCCCAAGTGAAATTCTGCTTTGCTTTCTGTCTCAAGTTGTAACGGAATGTATATTTATGTATGTTACTATGCACAACCTGTGGGACAGTACACTGGAATTAGTAAAAATATTCACCTTTTATCTTTCAGAATTCCTCTTAGTTTCATTGTTTGTGTTTTGGGGGACCAGAATGGGCTCCGGGACTACACCCAGCAGGGCTTGGGGGGACCATGGGTATTAAACCTGAGGATCCTGTATGCAAAATCTGCCAGACCCAGAATTCTGTTTTAACTGAATATCAAAAATGCAATGAAACTATTTAACCTGTTCATTTAATTATTTCAAAATAATTGCTTCTGTTTATTATGCCAATATTTTCTTGGTTGGTCTGAAAATCACTTATTTACGCACTTCCCAATTTTAAAGGAAAGGAATTCTTTATGAATTTAAAGTAAGGATTTTTTTACATATTTAAAAATATTAAAAAGTTTATTTTAAACAAACATTAGTTTAAAAATAATTAGAAGATTATTTGAATTATATAATTTAGGACATTACTGTTGTATTTCAGTGATGTTGTGTCTTTGCACTATAATACCAGCATGTCAATGAGACTATTTTTTAAACATTTTGAATTAATAATGTTGGACATTTTATATTTTATAAGCATTATAATATGTCTTTGGTTGGCATTGACCTCAATAATGTATGAGAAATCTAGGTAGATATATGTTGGATAGTTTATAATATATAGGAGGAAATATATAGGAGGAAATAATCAAGTCTTCCTCACTATAAGAGATGAATTTTAAGAGATCTGTATCTAAAGATAACTTAAATATTGTTAGTAGGATTGCTTTTCCTCACAAAATCTTAACTGCCCTGTCATTATAATTCATGGGTGATAATAATTTACATAAGGTTAGTTCATATTTGGTCCACTTCTAACTACTTCTCATCATCCCTAACTAAATATCCTTTGAAGAATAACACATGCTGTCCACTATCCCTTCTTGATCCTCAGGGACCAGTGATGGATGTCATTGCACTGCTGCCTTGTCAGTTTTCCCAGTGGAGTAGCAGTCAAGAGAAAACACATTCTAGTGCAGAAAGTCAGCAGAAACAAAAATGTTTAAAAACTTTCCATGCGATCAGGGAACATGTGATTCAGAAATTTATGGCAGATTTATACTAGCAGTACTGGAAATTTTTTATTTTTATTTAGTTTAATCCCCACATACTCATCACAAACTAAAAGAAAAACCAGGGTAACAGTTTCTGTCACGTCAGTCTCTATTTCACTTTAGAAAGACTGGCCTTGCTATAAAGACTCATTTTTGTGTTTTAGGTAGAAACATATTGCTTATATACATAATATTAAGAGTAGCCAGGTATAAAAATAAAAATTTCCATGAAGGCTATGAGATAAAATAATTGCCAACAAGTATGTGTCAAACTATATTTACAGTGAGTAAAAGAACTATGGGTGGCATTTATTTTAAAAGGCCTATTGATCTATCTATGAAAAGAGCTGTATAAAAAGAATAAATCAAATTTATTAGGTCTAACTTTAAATAATACATAACCACTTGTCAAGGAGTGATTCAATAATTTTACTAAATCATCATTACAGTCTACTCAAAGTCAAATAAACCTACTCATAATGACACTTAAAAAGATCACTTAATATTTACTTATCAGATTTAGTTAAAACCATATATGGTACCTTTAAATAAAAATGTTTTTGAAACTGTATTTAACTTAAATAACATACAGGTGTCTGGCAAGCAATTTGAAGTAAAAGTTATAATTATTTACCTAGTGAAACATTCATGTTATTGATAGCTGCTTGTAAAAGAGAGTTTTGCTTTAGTTAATACATTTGCTTTGATGTTAAAATTGTATTATTTTTTGTAAGCCTATTATTCAATTTTTCTTTTAATAATATAAACTACTGAGTTAAAACAGCAGATTAAAAATAAAATTATGATATAATACTACATTTAATTTTGAATTTTTTTGTGTGGTGGTGGTACATCCAGATATGCTTGGGGATTATTCTTGCTCTATATCCAGAGATCAATCCTGATTATGCTCAGGGGACCAAATGTAGAGCCAGGATTAAAATGTAGTAGGCCATCAGCAAGTCATGCACTTTACCCTGTTAGTATCTCCCCCTCCATGTTTTTCTCCTTAGAAGGGCAATATAAAAACAAAATATTTTGGACTTTGATAATCATTTTAAATAAGATTATCAATGAATCAAAAGATTATTATTTTCAATCACAACCAAATACCTCTCCATTTTTTCATCATTTATAGTACCCTGTTTTCATATCCAAATAATTTTATGAGATATGATGTAAAATAATGACATATTTTAAAATGTACTTAAATTTCAATACAATTTAAAACTTTAAATAGTGAAGGAATATGTAGTACTCAAAAAATTTAATTCCACTCATATCATTCAACATTAAGATAAATTAAAATCACCTATTCTAAAAATCTTGCAGTGGGTCAGAAAAATATTTAAATGTTTTCTCTCTTGTTTCCTTTTCTATTTTCCTTTCTATAATGAAAAATTCAAAACTTATCTTTGTAATATAAAATTTAGTATTTATACTACTTGTGAATTCAGTGGTAAAATTCAAAAATTAAATACAAAAGTGGATTAAAGTTCCAGAAAGATAGCAGGCAGGTAGCTTGTCTTGCATGTGGCCCACACAACTCAGGTTCAATACTTGCCACCAACTATGGAAACCCAAACCCAAGTCCTGCGATGAGTGACCCCTGAGCATAGAGACAAGAGTAAGCCCCAAGCAATGCTAGGTATGGCCCCAAAACAACAAAAAGTAAAACAAAACAGAAAAGCATAGATTATAAAGTCAATTAGCAAGTAATTCTATGTATATGTGAAATTTAAACGATTAAACTGCAAATTTTAAGGTAAAAGGTAAAGGTAAAGGCCCTCCCGTTGATCGTCGATTTGCTCGAGCGGGCCCAGTAACGTCTCCATTGGAGACTTTGTTGTTACTGTGTCTGGCATATCGAATACTCTCGGTAGCTTGCCGGGCTCTCCAAGAGGGGCGGAGAAATCGAACTCGGGTCGGCCATGTTGGCCGCTTGTAAGGCGAACGCCCTACCCGCTGTGCTATCGCTCCAGCTGTGCTATCGCTGGAGCAAATTTTAAACATATATATTTTACAATATACATATATTTGTAATAAATTAATGTCATACTTTATAAAGTATTTGGGGATGATTTCACTTTCACCATCAAACTAGATTAGTAAAATAGCTTTTAAAATTAATAAAATCACATAGAAATAAGTTCCTTCATATAAAAGAAAGTTTTCAAAACTACTATCAACATAACAGAAAGTTTTACTTTGTAGCATTCGTAATAAAAATTTTAGGAATTAGATTAGGTTAGTTTAGATCCCATACTTCAAAAGGAACCACTGAGATCATACAGCAGCCTGGAGCTGGGGACGTACATAGAGAAGGAGAAATTCAGCCTCTATAAACAGAGAAATTGATAATAAGAAAGTCCTCAGTTCTCTTATGAGTGTTCACTGTCACTGTCACTGTCCTCGCGTTGTTCATAGTTTTGCGTGAGCAGGCCCAGTAACACTGGGAGGCTTGTTACTGTGTTTGTCATATTGAATACGTCATGGTAGCTTGCCAGGCTTTGCCATGTGGGTGAGATACTCTTGGTAGCTTGCTGGGCTCTCTGAGAGGGGCAGAGGAATTGAACTCGGGTCAGCCATGTTGGCCACGTGCAAGGCAAATGCCCTACCCGCTGTGCTATAGCTCTAGCCCTTATGAATGTTATCCGTTCTTATTTGTATAGGAGCTTTTCATAAATAATTTCAGATTCATACTTTATTTGCATTTAAATTGTCAATTTCTGTAAAGCCAAAAATGTAAGTTTGACATCACTTGTTAAATAACAATGGTTGATACAGAGCTTACGAAAATCATTGATAATTCAATGAAATCTAAGTAAAAAACAAGAATATTTTCCTTATATCGTCCAGCACATTTACTAAATTTAGTAATATTGTATAGCACTGTAGCACTGTCCTCCCATTGTTCTTCGATTTGCTAGAGCAGGCACCAGTAGTGTCTCACAACAAACTGTGAGACTTGTTAGTAATAATATATATATATTATAATTTACTTTTTAATCAACATAATAGGAATATAAGACAGTTTAGTTTTAGTAGAGGTTTACCCCATTTAAAACATACTGGTACTTGGAGGATGGGGGGGGGGTGGTAGGGATTGAACTGGGCCACACCTAGGAATGCTTTGCCCAGCATTGTGGGCTTGAGATTAGGTGCTCTCTGTCATACTTGGGGTTCACTAGGGCCACCTTAGTGGCTGATCTCACGATTGTCATGCAATTCTAGGAATCAAACTCCTGATTTACATCCGCTGAGCATGTGCTCTACGGCTTATCTCCCTGTCTCAATTTGGTGGGGGGGGAGGGTAGATGAAGGTGTATCAGTGCCAATATGGCAGTACTTAGAGACTCTCCAGGCTCCTTATTCAGAAACTGCTCCAGGTGGTACTCAGAAAATTGATTCAGGGTCAGCTGCATGAAAGGCAGCTTAATCTCACAATATCTCTTCAGCCCCTGGCCCACCACTTTGTTTCTATGATACTTAATCTCTACGAATTCAACATATCTCACATGAAAAGTAAACTTGACTATTTCTGTCATTTATCCTGGGCTGTAGCTCTCAAAGAGTCTTATTCATTTTTGTTCACCTTTTGACAGAAATCTCAAGAGTTCATCATTTATCTCAACATTTAATAACCCCAGACACTCAATAAACGCCTTTTAAAAAGTATTTTAAAGTACATCTTTAAACACATGATAGTATTTATATCAATAAAACTTAATTCCCAATTTATTATATTTCATTCCAGACATGTTTACTTATACAAGTCTTTACTCCCTTCTGTGTCTTATCTTGGTCTTTCACTTTTTAATTTCACTGGGTCTGCTTCTTGCCCAATATTCTCTTAGAAATTCCATCCTCCAACTCTGAATGTTTACCTTTCTGTTCAAACTTAGACATAGTCGCAGTCTCTTTCTCTTCCTTCTCTTTGGATTTAGGTGTTTTCTGAGCTTCTTTCACTTTTGCAGTTGTTTGCTTCACTTTCTCTTGTTTTCCACCTTTCATTTCCTTCTTAATCTTTTCTTCAGTTTTTTCCTTAGCCTTCACTTTCTTTTCTTCTGTGTAAAGTAAAAGAAAATCAGGTTATTTTTGTTTGCCAACATTTCAACTCAACTCATTTGTGTCTCAATAATTTTTTAAAAGAGAAATAAAATACTATAACCTTACATAATGCTTGGAGCTAGTACTGAATGTTGTTGAATGTTATTATTGAACATTATTTTAGATGATTTGTAAAATGGTCACTCACTCAAAAGTTGGATCATTTTTTATTTATTGTTAAAAAGCTATAACTATATAGCTTTTGGGCTAGAGCAATAGCACAGCAGGCAGGACATTTGCCGCGCATGTGGTCAACCCGGGTTTGATTCCTTCGTCCCTCTTGGAGAGCCTGGCAAGCTACCGAGAGTATCCTGCCTGCACTGCAGAGCTTGGCAAGCTCCCTGTGACGTATTCAATATGCCAAAAACAGTAGCAACAAGTCTCACAATGGAGATGTTACTGGTGCCCGCTTGAGCAAATTGATGAACGGGAGGACAGTACTAATTAATCACATAAGCAAGAAGGTATATGAAATATGTAGGGAATAAATATATATAGTCATACAGAGAGTGTCATATACAGTGAAAGAAAATGCCATTTCTAACTGTCTAACAATACAAAATTTCCATAAAGATATAATCATTTGTACCATAACTGAAAAATCTTATAAGCAATTCAAGGTAACTGAAACTTCAATGCTGCATTTTAAAAACTTGTCAATAATATTTAAAAGGTTAAAGAGTCAAATGTAAAATTGGCATTACTAATGACTAATAATCATAAAATATAATGTAATTAAAGGATAATTCAGAGATATCTAAGCTCTGGAGTATTGATTTTTAAAGTCAGACAGAAACCCGAAATTTTCATTGTCATTGTTATTTCACTGTGTCAAAGAAAATAACTTTAGTAGAGCTTTTATTTATTTAGTGTGGGTGCCATACCCAGTGATGTCAGGGATTACTTCTAGTTGTGTACTCAGAAATCTGATTTATGAGTCTCAGTGCTCAGAGGACTATATGCAGATGTTAGGCATTAAACCAGGCTAGGCTGAGCACAAGACAAGTGCTTTAAGTACTCTACTATTTCTCCAACACCTGCAATAACTCTTCAAGACATTAAATAAATCCTAGTAAATGGAAATGATTTTAAAATAAAATATATTTAGATTATAATGTACAAATACATGTCCTATAATATGTGTATGTATTATAGAAAACATGTCATTTATAATACACTATATATAACATAGTCTTAATATGAAATCATATACTTGTAAAGAAACTGGGGATGAAATATTAATATTAATATTGCATATACTTGTGGAAAATTGTTAATAATATATACCATATATTGTACATTCTTTATTCTTCAAGAGTACATGTAAGAAGTGAGTCTATTGTACCATCACGAGAAATATTGAGACTTTCAAGATTGAATAAACTTCATTCTCTCTTATTATTAAAAAAATTGATGAAGTAATATAATCAATATTTTATTTTAGAACTTTGAACAATGATTAGAGACTAAGTCAAGATATCATCATGAGTTCCCATGAAGAGAATAAAAATGGTAATGACTGATGCTCACAAACAAAATTTATATATACTACTGAATTTAAGTGAGTAAAACAACATTTCCCAACACTGCTTCTCAAAAATTCTGCAGGGAGATGGAGATGGTGTGTTTGAAACAGAGACATGTTCTTATAAAATAATTGTTAAGACAATAAATTAAAATATTTATGATGGGATTCCTCAAAGCTTAAGTGCTTGAGAATCTTCAAGCAGGGGTAGTATACTGTACATTATCTTTTAGTAGTAGTTGGGTTGGAGCGATAGGACAGCAGCTAAGGCATTTGCCTTGCATGCAGCTGACCTGGTCAACCCAGGTTCGATTCCTCTGGCCCTCTTGGAGAGCCAGGCAAGCTACAGAGAGTATCTTGCCCGCATGGCAAGGCTTGGCAAGCTACCCGTGATGTACTTGATATGCCAAACACAGTAACAAGTATCATAATGGAGACATTACTGGGCCCGCTCAAGCAAATCGATGAACAATGGAAGGACAGTGACAGTGACAGTAGTTGGTTATATAAAACTCTTATAAAAATCACTCAGTTGCTCCAAAATATTTCAGTATCTGTGGTTTCAATGACAACATGAATTGGGATTTTTTTCTTCTACTTTATTTAAAACATTTTAGATTGCCCTATGTCCATATCTGCTCATTTTCATCACTGACTCATATATTTCACCTTAACTACAAAGAACCATCATTTTAGAATCTCACAATTCATTAGTTCTGTCTAGAGAAAAAATTCCAGTAGCACCCTTGACTCAATTCATGTTTCTTAACATGCCATTTCAGAGGAGTATCAGGGCTTGGAATTAGTGGTCAGAACACAAAAGCTCAACATGATAAAATGCTTGTCTGAGTAAACCTCAAACTTCTGGCTTTGTCTTATTGTGTAACATTTACCATTATTTTGGGGGAAGCAGGTCCAAAAACCACTCATAATAACACTCCATCAATCAGTCTGGATTAATATCTATTACAATTAATATCTAATACATTATTAGAGTATATGATGTTACTAGAGTCCTGTAGCAACAAAAATTACTAGGTCCACCAAGAATTGTTTGGGAACAACCAGCATCAATGTAGAATTCTTGTGTGGCATGCAGAATTACACCCAGCAGTGTGCAAAAGGCCATATGATTCAGGATATTGAACCCTGGTTGGTGCCATGCACACTATCACCACAGCACTTCCAAGGATATTTCTAGATGCTTCTTCGACAAGACCATTTTTTAAAAAATATCTCATATAGGTTTTACATGCAAAACTTGCCAGACTCTGTTCACTGAATTTTTCATTTGCATGGATATAAATTCCTTTGTGTTCTATTAATTTGCAAAAATGATTGCAATTGTAATGAATCATATGTTCTTCACCAGAGCTTTAACTTTCCTCAATTTTTATTAAAGAACAAATCATATGATTATATGTCATGTATTAAAGATGGGAATTATATGTCTGTCCTTCTTATTTGAGAATACGAACTGGATTGTTTATCTTTGCAGTGTCGTAATGCCTAGTACAATGCTTTTATCAGAGAAAACATAATAAATGTTTAAAAAATTACCTATGTTGACCTAGAAAAACAAGTTGTGTTTTATTAATTTAGATCATGTATGCAATATGTTATATATTGACTGAATATATAAATATGCATCTGGATATGGATTTGATAAAATGTAGAAAATGTGTCAATTGATTTCATATTTGTTATTTTTTGTGGCAAATTATTTTTTTACCTGAAAATAAACCTACCTACTACTTGTATACAAGCTGATTAACCTTAAGTTTTTTTATTATAATAGAGAATTAAGATGTGTGAAATTTATATTTACTTTTAAAATTAAATTGGATTGAAGAGATATACTACAAGATGCTTGCCTTGATGGCAGCTGACCTGAGTTCCATCCCTAGCACTGCAGAGTGTCCCTAAGCAGAGAACCAGAAATGAACCATGAGCATAGACAAGTATGCCTTTTAAAATTATTTTAGCAAATTTTAGTGAGTTATAAAAATAGAATCATCATCATAGTGGATATGTTATACCACTGTGTCCCAAAATTGACACCAAAAGATCTATTTCTCTGCAGAAGGAAGTTCTTAGGTGGCTCAATCAGTTACTGTCCTTGGACATGCCGTGCTTAAAACAGAGCAAGGCATGCTTTCTTACATAGGAGAGGCTCTGGGACTCAAAGACCTTCAAAAACGTCCCTTTATTTTTAAACTCTACTCACACTGCATATGTCACATAAGTTATCACATGTGTCACTTAAGCTATTTTTAACTTAAATGCCATAAACTATAATGTAAGCTTTTTAAAATCTTATTCTGTTTAAAGATTATTATAGAGTTCTTTTATGTATTTCCTATCATCATAACAATGTATACCTAAAACTAAAATTTAAATATGTGTTTGTACAAATCTGTTTTTTTTACCTTTGTAACCCAAATAATAGAAGTTTGTAAATAATGAATGTGTGATTTGCAGAACTCTAAACATAGTTAAGATATCCACTGACGATCCCAGACTACTGGAATTTATAATCTTGTACAGTCCTTTCCCCTTAAATATGGGCTTTCTATTTGCTGCTAGCCAAAAATATGTGACTTGTTTGCCTAGTCTACATAGGATTCTTTCTTGTTTTGCTCACTATTCTTTCAATTACCAAGTTTGATTCAGCTGTCAGCTATCATGTAGTGGGACTCAGTGGAGAAACTAAGGATGACCTTCAATCAACAACTAAAATGAGAGTTCTCATTATATAGCAACGGCGGAATGAAATCTTGGGAATACACATGTATATCACCTTGAAAAATGGTTCTCTGGGAGCTGAGCCTTCAAATGAAAGTACATTCCTAGTACGTTTGTTGCAATTCAATATGTACTGAGCTAAATTTCCCAAAGATACTAAGGTAATCAATGTCAAATAAACCTATAATTTGCGATTTTTAACTGAGCAATATAACTAATATAGTATTTAATAAACATGTTGAATGAAATATTATATTTCATTAAAAATATATTACATTCAAATAAATGAACCCACAAACTGCCGTGTAACCCCATCAAAGGCCAGGATTCAGAGACTCTAAAACCAAGCTTCTGGAAGAGAATAAGACAGTCTCCTGCCCCCGCACCTGGCTGTCCTCACCGGGGCCCCTTGGAGAGGGTGGATTGAGTTTCCCTCTCTGCCCTGAACAGAGCCCCGACAGCTGAAGACCTCTAGGACCCAGCCAAAGCCATGCTGAGACCACATGCATGGACGAGGAACTGGCAGAGGAACCCAGGTGTGCGGGACCTGGGGCTGAGATCTCCAAGCCTGCTCAGTTCGGTACTGGTCCTCCTCCACCCAGCTCCCCCACCTTCCAGTAGCTAGACGGTTACACCCACCAACTGCTGTGTAACCCCATCAATGGCCAGGATCCAAAGACTCTAAAACCAAGCTCCCAGAACTGTGACCTCTTATTCTCTAGTTCTCACTCTCAAGAACCTGGCAGGCTACTGAGAGTATCATACCCGCCTATATGCCTGACTAGGAACACCTATAAAGGTGACTAGAGGTTGCCCCAAAAGCTTCCTTCCCTCTCGGAGAGCCCGGCAAGCTACCGAGAGTATCCCGCCCACACAGCAGAGCCTGACAAGCTAACATACTTGATATGTCAAAAACAGTAACAATGAATGGTCCTCATTCCCCTAATCCTGAAGGAGCCCCCAATATGTCATTGGGCCACACTAGCACATGACAGGGACGAATGGAGATGTTACGGGGCCCACTCGAGCGAATTGATGAACAATGGGGTGATAGTGATAGTGATATAGTGATGCTGAATGAAGTAATTGAGGCTTGAAGACTTATTTTGTTGTCTTTAGAAACAAACTTAAATCTTATTTGTGTCTCTTAGTTCAGATACATATAGTTATATCCTGGTCACATTGTTTTCTATTGCTAGAGGTTGGTTTCTTCATGCATTAAACCAGATAATTAACTCTTGTTTCTACCATTACTCCTGAATATATACACATATAAACATATACATGTAAAATTATATGCATCTCTCAAAGAGGACAGCCCCAAACAGAAGAAAATAATGTGTTTAGTTAAAAAAAATTCAACTTGAGACAAGATTATGTTTACTTCGAAATAATCTCAATTTATGAACAGGAGTGATAGTACAGTAGGAAGGGCACTTGCTACTACACGAGTTTAGTCTCTGCAACCCATATGGGCTCCTAGCCCCAATAGGAGTAATCTCTGAGTATAGTGCCAGGAGTAAGCCCTGAGCACCACAGGTTATGCCCCCCCCCAAAAAAGAAGAAAATCCCATGAAACAAATTAATTTTTAAAAAATCTCAACTTATAGTTCATCTGCCATAACAAATAAAATATGTGTATATCTCATAAAAACAATAAAAATATATATGCCTCAAATGTTTTATTTCACAGTGTACTAATAAACATGATGAATTTTTTAAAGAGTTTCCAGATGCTCTAAATAACTTCTTCCTAATATAATACTGAATTGAACGCTGAGATAGATCAAAGGGGTTGAATGCATTCTGTAAATATAGAAGTCTCAGGTTTGATTCTTGCACTAAAGAATTCTCTCACTAAGAGCGTTCTCCAAGTACAGAGTCAGGAGTTGGGCCCCAAGCATCACTGTAGGGTTAATACTCCTCAGATCCAATAGTGAACTGAAATTTCTGAAATAAATTTATCATTATAAAATATTTTAAAATAATATATTTTTATACTATTAAAAATTTTCAATTTTTAGATAGAGTGAATTATCAGAATGCATATTTTTAAAATATCACTTAACTGGTAGACGAATGTTAAAAGGAAAAAAGGTGTGGGGACAGAGATCGCACAGATGGTAAGGTGGTTGCCTTGCACGCTACAGACCCAGGTTCTATCCTTGGCATTCTTAGGGTTCTCCAAGCCTGGCCAGGAATAGCATGTGAGAATAGAACCAGGAATAAGCCCTGAGTACCACCAGGTTGTAGACCCAAGCTCAAAAATAGATAAATAAATAATAGATAAATAAATGAGGTAAAAAGCAAAAGGTGACCCATGTAATCCCAAAAATTCATATCATATTGAAATTCCAGTTGATATTTTTACTAATATTTAAACACTTTGCTTCTTGTAGCTTGAGATATTAATCAACATATATGCATTATTCTTTCTTTTTTAAAAAAGAAGTCATGAGGGAGAGTTAAAAAAAAGAAATTTTGTGCCATAGAGGCAAGGGTTGGGGTCGGGTGGGGGTGGCGGGAGGGTTACTGAGGAAATTGGTGATGAAAAATGTACACCATGGAGGGACAGGTATTCGATCACTGTATGACTGAAACTCAATTATATGGAAGCTTTCTAACTGTATCTCATGGTGATTCAATAAAAAATATAAAAATAAAAGAGTTTAAATATGAAGTCCTTAATTTGAGTCTTAAGTCAATCTCTAGGGATAGTACTAGTCAAAGCTGTAAATCAGACATCTTTTGCAAGCCTCCTTTGACTATGATTATAAATTAGCTGTTTGGGAAATCTCCCACTTTATTTCATGGTTTCCATGTTTCAAAACTTTGGTTATAGTTCTCTCCTTAAGGTCCACAAGACTAAAATTAAGATATTAACAAGACTGAATTTCTCAGGAGGCTCAAAGAGAAGCATCAACTTCACACTTATTTGACTTATTTCCTTCTCATGCTTCCCATGTGCTGTCTGAATTTTCAAGCCAGCATTGGGTCAGGTTCTTAAAACATGTCAAATACTCCTCTTTCTGTTCTGCTACATTTATTTTCCCTTTAAAAGTGCCTCCATTTACATTGAGCCCACTTACATATTCTTCCTATTTTATCTCAGTTTTAAATTTCTTGTTGTATAATGTAACACTGCCACAAAGATGACACTACGATGTAAAGTGTAATATAAGAATATTTTGGAAAATGTTACTGTACATAAAGGATATTTAAGAGTCTACTTGTAAATAAAATGGAATATATTCAAACAGCCCTAAAAATTCAAAGAAAACAATTATTTTATAGGTAGACCTTGAAAATGTTTCAGAGGATATAATGTTTGAGTAGGACTTTGCTAAGTAATATTTTGATAGGCTAGATTGCAATTTTATTAATAATACAGGGAATTTATTTTGTGCTTGATATATTAGCTGAAGACAGCATGCTAGTTCTCTGAGCTCATATTCCTATGGAGAAGAGGATAGAGCAATTACAAAGAGTTTCCAAATTATACTAATGCCAACTTTCTTACCTCTCATGAATACTAAGAACAAACATGTCATTTTATGATGCTTTACTCTGCTTTAAAAAGATGAACACCAAGAGTTGATGGTCATAGAAGTCAAACATATCCAACAGAAAATGATAAAGCTCTTGATTATGTTCCAATATTTTGAAATGCTTAATTATTTGGCTTATTATTAGTGTATCCATTAAATTTAAAATGTAAGGACAAGTTAATTTTATGTAAATGAAATGCTGAATACTTATAATCATGTAGCTGCCTTTTGCACACAAAATGTAATCCTTTAAAGTAAGAAAGGAATTTATAAAAATAACAAAGAAAAAGTTACCTTTTGTCACTGTCTTTGCTTCCAGTTTTTCTTTTTTCTCAATTTTATCCTTGTGAGTAGCTTAAACAAAAAAAAAAATGTTAGTATATATTATTAATAGATTTCAAGACTAAGATTTCTCACCAATTTTATAGTCATCAAATAATTGAATATTTTAAAGAATAAATTATTGAATATTTTAAAGAGTAATGAAATTAATGAAACTAACAGGAGTAGAGACGCCAAAATAAAAAACTATATAGGCACAATTTTTTTTTCTTTTTGGGTCACACCCAGCAATGCACAGGGGTTACTTCTGGCTCTGCACTCAGGAATTACTCCTGGTGGTGCTCAGGGAACCATATGGGATGCTGGGAATCAAACTCGGATTGACCGTGTGCAAGGCAAATGCCCTACCCACTATACTATAGCTCCAGCCCTCTATAGTCACAAATTTTTAAGATGGCATTTATATTTTAAAAAATTATAACAGATGTACATTTTTCTTAAATATTCATTGTTTCAAATAAATTTCCTAAAGGCTGATAGCAATGTTATAAAAATTGTCAAGATATGTAAAATATATATATAATTTTATCAGAAAGACACATTCTCTTTAATATTATAAAGCCTAGATTAAACTTAGACTAGATAAGTAAGCATAATGTCTCTCAATTAGGATATAATTAAAAAGTATATCTCCCTATAAAGATCTATCTTTTAAGCATTGAAATTTTTTTTTTCTTGTCTGTTTTCCACATGATTTCACTGCAGACATTTTGACAAACAAAACATTTTCAAATACTCCCTAAGGATAACATCCTTGGTAGAGAAACACAATTAGTATACAAAGTAATCAAAGAATTTCTATTTGAGTCCAACTTTTTTTTTAATCTGTGAATTGAAATTATTTTACTGAAGTTGATTTCATTTTGTTTTTGCTTTTTGGGTCACACCTAATGGTACTCTGGATTTAGTCCTGGCTCTGTGATCAGGGATCTCTCTTGGTGCTGCATGAGGGACCATTTGTAGTGTTAGGGATAGATTTGGGTTTACACACATGGATAGCAAGTGCCATAAGACCTGTAACTCTCTGGATCTATTACAGTAGATTTTATTTTAAGTGTTTTTCTATAGTACACAAAAAATTTACAAACAAAATATTGCGTATGAACTTGTTTTCTTTCTTATGTACTAACAATTTGTCATCATTTTAAATATACAATCTATGGAATTAGTTCATGATATATATATAAGCTTTAAGGTGTGCTGAGCTAGAAGAACACTGACAATATACTAAAAATAAGCCTTACCACTAGTGAGTATAGTTTCTTAATTGAACAATATTTAATGATATACAAAATATCTTACATTTTTGTTTTCATAAAATAAATTAAAACATGTTTATAAAACCACATTTTGTCTTGTATTTACATAGACTGGTAAAATATTTTGTCTCCCAAGACTCTAAATAAAAGAATTCTGAGAGGCACAACAATGTATGCTATTTATTTATATATATTATACATATTTAAAATATATTAATCTGTATAATTTAATATTCTCTCAAATCAATAATCATATAAACTCAATATTTATATTATTTGGAGAATAATAATGAAAGTTAAATATATCATAAAAATAAAATATTTAATAAGTGATTTAACAATTAAGAGCCATATTGTTAGTATAAAAATTGGTTTATTTATTGGTTTATTTATCCCAGTTTATTTCCATTTTTCCAAATATATACTGAGACTAGTTATGTCCATCAACTGATTTACATCATGGCAGAAAAAATATCTATATACATATGTGTATTAATCTATTCTTTTAAAATTCATCTATAACTAGTTTTCCCAGAATCAGGAAGGATGATGAAAGAAACTTTCAAGCACAATGCTCATCTAAAACCTAGAGAGACCATGAAGGCAAAGAGATATGTTTAGGGTACTTTGCTTGCACACAGCAGACCGGGGTTCAGTCCCAGTCACCACATGTGGTCCTTTGAGCCCAGTGAGAGCACTGAGCCAGGAGTAAGTCCTGAGCATTGCTGGGTAAACAAACAAACAAACAAAACAAAACAGTTCTAGAGAGGCCAACAGTTGAATGCCTCATGCCTCCTGAGTTACAGACTCTCCACATCTCAAAGTGTCCTAGTTGTATCCACTGCTTTTGGAATGACATGTTATAGTTTCATCAATGTTAGCCAAAGGAGCACTCTTTGCATGCTAAACAGCCACAATTCACAAAATTTATGGGACTATCATTATAACTTATTCATGAAAAATAAACTTTTAATTTGTATACAGTAAATAAAAGAGCATTTACAATGCAGAATTTCATTTCTACATTTCAATTTGGAAATATTTTCCATAACATTTAAAATTTAGTGACAATAAATTTTGTCTTTTATTGTAATTTATGCAGCCACTGTGTACATTGAAAAGAGTCATAAGAAATATCAGGGGATTCTATTTAATTCAACTGTTCAGAACTTGATGCTAATACTTTTGTAGAACTCTGGAGCAGAAGGAAAACAGACCTGTTTCTTCAACAGAAACAACAGATATATTGAAATTCATGGATATCATCACTAATAACGATAAATTAAATAATAACTATTGTTAAAATAATGAAGCAAATACAGATGAAAACTATTTTAACTGGTCTGATTCTTAAATATTATAATAAAAAATCTAGCTAAGTTGAATTTTTGTAAAGCAAAATAACTCAATAGACTATGCTATTTTGAACACATAATTCAACTGAAGTCTTGTCCATATGTCCTAGATATGGTCAAATTGTAATTTTACCAATATGCTAAATTATAGTTCTTTTTATTTGTACATTAAAATATGTTTAATATTATTAGATTTACTTAAATGAAAGTTATGAAACAAAATATTAAAATCTTAGAAATATGAATAACACTTTAATCTCTGGATGATAGTTCAAAGGTACATATACAAAAAGAACATCAACAAATCCCTAGTCACATAAAAAATTCAAAAATTTAAATACACAGAATAGCATGCACACATATGCTGATGTGTATCCGCTTATACAGACAGAAACCCTAAACCCTAACATTAATCACACAAAACTAATTTATAAAATGTCTGAAAACAGATAGTTCAGGGAATTATACCCAATTTATAGGCATATATATATATATATATATATATATTCATGGGAACTAAGAAATAAGTGTAGACATCTACAAATAATTATGCAAAATTGAAAAAAAATACTTAAAGTTTTCAATATTCAAGTTGTTAAATTATATAGCCAAAGAAAATAAATCTATTTAAATGCTTTGCAGCTTCTTAAAGTGAATAAGATAAATATTTACCAATAATGATATTTAGGATATATATTAAATTATAAGAACAATATAGGGCATGATAAATTTCAAGCAAAAATAAGGAGAATAGGTAGATACGTATTAGATCTCTAAATATACACACAAACTTATGCACAAAAAATAATAGCTTCTGCATTTATGTATAGTAGTGGTTAATGGACTGATGTAAAGTAAGAATTTGGGAGCAAGGCAAGAAGAAGCGTTCACAACGTATCTTTATGAAGTCCACTTAGACTCCATTGCCTATTCTCAATAAATAAATATTTATTAAAGCAATGTAGGAGGTTCAGTTAAAAGGAAATCTAAGTATACAAATCAAAATAATATAATGTAATGGCCAGAAATATCTTTCTAAGGTTTCTTTATATTAAAATATTTTCTTAAAAATTATGTTCAATTTTGGTTGAGTCAGTTTCAAAACTGTTAGGTGAAATTTGATAGTTTTATTGTTTTTGCTTGGTTTGTTGTCAAACCTGTAATGCTCTTGTGCTACTCCCAGCTCTGTGCTCACTCAGGAGTCACTCCTGGTGGTGCTCTAGGGGCATGAACTTTTTCTTCTTCTTTTTTTTTTTTTATTAGTGAAACGCCATGAGGTACAGTTACAGACTTATAAATTTTTGTGATTGGGTTTCAGTTATACAATGATCAAGTACCCATCCCTCCACCAGTGCCCATCCTCCACCACCATGGGTCCCAGCATCCCTCCCCCCCCCATTCCCCCCCCCCGGCCCATTAAGGATCAAAATCTGGGTCAGCTATAATGTAAGGCAAGAACCTTTTTGCTGAACTATATCTCTGGCAGAAATTTTTTGTTTCTAGGGAGATAGCTCAAGTCTTACTTTTAAATTTTTATTTAACCCAGAAATTGCTCTTCTCTGATTTAACACTTAGAAAATATCAAAAAGTAAATGGTAAAAAAAAATTATGCATATACCAGAGTATAAAATCATCAATAAAAATAATGCCATACCTTTCTTGTCAGGTTTCTCTTTTATTTTGTCTCTGTCTTTTTCTTTTTCTCTTTGTGTGACTGAAAAGAAAAAGAAAATATTTCTCATTTAAATAATAATACTTTTTTCCTTTTTTAAAAAAGTTAATTTTTATTTATTTTTACAGTGACTTATTTATCGGTCTGTGACTTATAGGTAGTACTAATAGGGTTTCATGCATGCACCATTCCAACCCCCCCACCCCGGGTCCGAGCTCCTCCCCGGCCTATTTTTTGATATCAAATTTGCTGTGGTTTGGAAATCTTTCTTCAGTTTGAGGTTTTACATTTTGAGACTTAAATATTAGCTTTAGATTTTTTATTTCATCTCTAACTCAGACCAAAACAAGGCCTATTACAAAGATAACAATAATCTTCAACTTATTTACACCTTTAAGTTCAACTTAATAATTGGAAAACTAGGGGGTAAAATCATTCTCTATGTCAGAGGAGGCCAGTACAAAACTAAAGGAACAAAATAAAGGTGAAGTTATAAACAAATAGATATAACCTGAATTAGAACCAAAGACTATTCAATTTAACTAGTACTTGCTGAACTACAGAAACATTGAACACTGAAAACTTTTTGATAAGGAGTAAGTCCATACACCACATCGCTGTGTGCTCAGGGATCACATCTCTTGGGGGGGGGCAGGGTTTGAATTTGGGTCAGTATTCTATAGAGTAAATGCCCTATCTGTTGTACTATCTCTCCGACCCATTCCAAACAATATTTGTACAAATATATTGTTTTACAATAACACCAAATACTTTGCAGGAAAATAATATTTAATAGGAAGTATGATCCAGTTAGTATAGCATGATTCAAGTTGATTAGTCCTAATTCTCATTAATAGCACTTCTAATTATCCAAAGTAGGAAAATGAACTCATTCAGTTTATGTTTCACTTTGGTTCACTCTCCAAACTCTTTCAAATCTACTTCACTTAATATCCCTCTTGCCCATATCCTTTATCTGATATTTAAATTCCTACCTATTATTTATTTACACAAAGATGTTTAAAGAGTGCTTGACATGTGTTAAAGTCTCTGGTAGATAAGTGGACTCCATCTTTATCATTATGTTAGCCAGCCGGTAGATGAGGGATGCTAAGCTTATGATTTCAAAGATAGGTAGTCACAATCAGTAAAGTTGCTATGAAGAAAATATTCATGGTGAGATATTGATGTACAAAATGGGACCTAATATAAACTGCATATTAGAGATAGTCTCTTTAAAGAAGTATCATTTATAGAGTTAAACTATAAAAAAAAATTAACCCAGTAAGGAAATGGGCAGGAGAAAGAGGAAATTATCATTTCAAAGTTGAAGTAGGTTTCCTTGGAATATTATCTTGATTAGTCACCTGAAGCTTGAGATTTAGAATTTTCTTTCAGAATAGCTTTTTGAACATGAAAATATGATTATATCATAAGCCTGTTAAAAATATTAGTATATCATTCATTGCTTAGAATGGGGTTCTGTCACTCACTAGATGCTATATCAAATGAAGAATGGCATCACTCTAGTGATCTTAGAATCACTTAGCAATCCAAACCTTCCTACCAAGAATTCCCTCTTGAAGACTGCATTACTTAAAGCAAGTTTCTTGCACACGATGGAGCCTACTAAAGTCAACTGTGCCTGATTTCTTCTCTGTAGGATAACACTGTTTTGTCCTTCCTGCATAACCTCAGGTAGTTTAGGTATATTGGGTTGCTCCCATCACAGTGCTCTCATTCCTCTGTGTTTATTTGTAGCTTCTTTTTTTGTGCTCTGTTGACTCGAAAATATTGTTTTTCTCTTCTAAGTCCTTTACACAGTTTATTCAGAGCAATGTCCTTTTTGTTTGGGCACAAGAAGAGAGTATGCTTTTGTTATGTGACTCAGTGATATTTTCCTCCTGAGCATCAGTTCTCTCACCTAAGCCTCAGCTGCCCTTTATTCCTAGAGCCCCCAAAAGCAGGGTCCAGATGAGGGACTGGATGGAAACAGGGCAAGTGATAAGCTATGTGCTACCATGGCATCGAGATGGGCCTGGCCAAAGTGCCATAATGCTTAACTCTAAGTTAAGAGCTTGGTCATGGACAAATGCTGTCATGATCCAAAAAGTAATAACTAGATTGGGACCCTGTTAGGGTCACTGTCACGGTCCTCCCGTTGTTCATTGATTTGCTCCAGCGGGCCCAGTAACGTCTCTATTGTGAGACTCATTGTTACTGTGTTTGGCATATTGGATGTGTCAGGGGTAGCTTTCCAGGCTTTGCCATGCAGCTGAGATACTCTCTGTAGTTTGCCGGGCTCTCTGAAAGGGGCGGAGGAGGAAAGATTAATATGGCTTGAGCTCTGTAGTCTGAGTCTGTGGCAAGATGTTCCCAGGAGAGCTGCCCTACAAGCCTCAATGTTATCTCTGTGTCCATACAAAAATAACTAGTATTGAGATGTTGATAGAGTTATTGAACTGAGGAAAGGAGAAAAACACCTTAAGAGGTATTTTGCCTGGGGTGGTCAGGAAGGGCTTTGAGATACCTTTTAGGTGATGTTCCCTTTGAACTTGGTTGGCCCTCAGGAAGGGCTTTCTTATGTTGATTTTGCTACAGGACTGGGTGCAGTGTGGGCCAGAGAGAGAAGCATGTTGGAGAGGCAAGAGAGTTGGAGAATGAGAGAGAGCCCAGGATGCAAGATGGAGTGCAAGGAGAAAGACAGAAGGAGACTGGAATGAGGGGAGTGTGAGACTAGAATGGAAGGTTTAGAGAGATTGGGGCAGGTGTGTGGGGAGAATTGAATAAAAGGCAACTGATCAATCAACAGGCTTGGCCCTCATTTCCTCCACTGTCTGCCCCAGGGCTGGGCTCCCACCCCCCAGCCTGGGGGAGAGGCCCGAGCCCCCCCCCCCCCCAACCTGGGTGACCAGGGGGAGAGCCTTCAGCACAATTCCCTGGCCACCCTCAAAGAGTTTTTACACTTCTCCAAATATTTCTCACTCTCACATTTTTCCTCTTCCATGGAATCCTCAGTTCTGCTCCTCCTGTGTAGAAGCTATTTGGTATCTCCTTGTTTCACACATCATGTGCATAATTCTACTTAAACTAATAATATACAGCTGCTTACACATAGTGTTGCTCACAGGCAAATGTATTAATGTTTTTCAGTCAGGGTTTAAAATATGACTTTGTAGAGTAAACAAAATTCTAATGTAGTGGGTCACACCCACCACCTGGCCCCCTGGCGCCGTGTAATCCCATCAGCGGCCAAGACTCAGAGACTATAAAATCCAGATCCCGGACGAGAACAGTGCAGTCTCTGCCCCGCGCCTGGGTGTTCCTTCCCGGAGTCCCTTGGAGGGGAGCGGGTTGAGCTTTCCTCCCCGCCCCGACCAGGGCTACGGCAGCCGAAGACCTCCAGGACCAGCCATCACCATGCTGAGACCACTCTCCGCGCACATGAAGGTACTGGCAGAGGGACAAAGCCACGCGGGTTCCGGGGCCGAGACCTCCAAGCCTACTCGATTTGGAGTCGAGCATCTTCCACCCAGATCCTCCAAATTCCAGTAGGCGGGGGTCACACCCACCACCTGGCCCCCTGGCGCCGTGTAATCCCATCAGCGGCCAAGACTCAGAGACTATAAAATCCAGATCCCGGAACCGGCATCTTATTATCTCATTCCTACTTTGGACAAACTTGCAGGCTATCGAATGTAGCCTGCCCACAGGGCAGAGTCTGGCAAACTCCCCGTGGCCTACCAAATATGCCAAATACCAGTAACAATGATGGGTCTCATTCTCCTAAAGAGCCGTGAATATAATCTCAGGGCTAGGATGAAAGAGACGTTACTGGGGCCTGCTCGAGGCAATCGACGATTAATGTAGTATAAAAGCAATTCATCTTATAGTGTAATCTACTTATTAATGACATGGTATGTCCATAGAAGGCATAGCTTGCTCAATTTTTTTTTCATTTTTTTTTGTTCATTACTGAAATAAAACCCAGAGAGAAATGGAGGAGAAAAAATACTTAGAACATCTCAATATTATTTATTTTCTGCACTTATTGGTTCCTTTAAATGATTCTTAGTTACCAGATTCAATAAAAATATCTCACAAAATGAGGTAAGGACATCAGCATTCACATGTGACCACAAGTAGCTTATTTCTGTTTTCTTTGTATCACTGTTAATTAAGCTAAAAACCAAAAAGAACTTCTTGGCAAAAACAAAGCCTCTTGTAAAGGTTCTCTGGGGGGAACCAAGTTTGTATGAGATAAGCTGTGCTTTTGGAACTGTGATTGGCAAGACCCCCCTCGAGAGCAAGTAATCTGTGTCTCTGCTTCCATGAGGAACCAGACCTCCCCCACCTCAGACAGCTGCATGTCCATTTCAGGAAAGGAGTTTCCAATTGATGTGTTCACGGTCATAAAGGATGAGAAAATGAACAAAAATATCAAAAGAACGAGGAGACTAAATTCAGTTTCAAATGAGTAATATTACCGTCTTATTTCTATTTTGCTGGGAGGAAATAAGGTTCTTCCCAGTCTAAAGTTCGATATTTCAGCACAGTCTTCTATGCTGGAGTTTGATTATTGCCCTCAGAAATGGTACCATAACACTGCTTCAAGAAGCAGCTGGACCCATGTGCTCTCTGGGGCTGCTCACATGGCAGAAAGCCACTAATATTTCTTGGATGGAAACTTCAAACTTTGGCATCATGAGCTGAAATCCCAAGTTTTAAACTTTCCTTTAGCAAAACAGTGGAACCATCAGCAACTGCCATAATAATCAACTAAAATAAAGACTATCTGAATAACAACCAAATTTGCCTAATTCTCTTTGTTCAGAACCCACAAGCAAAAGTTCACTTATGAAAGAAGATAAAAGTTCCCTCCTTATTGCCAGCTGTTTGACAAGTTATCTATCTTGGCTAGGACAGTTTTAGCTCAGTACAAAATAAGCGTTTTGCACCTGCTAGAGCTTAATTTGTTTGTCATCCTTATTTACAAGGAACAAAAGTCCCTTTGGTATGCTGATAATTAAAAACAAATGGAA